TGCAGGGCACCGAGTTCCCGCCTTCGGGTTAGGACCCAGAGCAAGAAAGATGTGTCCTCTGGGAGCGTCCCAGCAGCGCTGACCCTGGTTCCTCCCCGGTTCTGTCCTTCTTGCTGGTTCGGCATCCAGGAGAGGCCTTGCCCGGGCTGGACTAGCCCGGAGGCATCAGGGTGAGCAGGTGTGGACCTGAGGCCCTGGTTATCTCCATTCTGTTGGGCAGAGCCTGCCCTAGCCTTTCTAGGGGAGCATTGCTCTCGTTGGGCCCAGCACTTAGGGGTGGTGGCCGGGGTCAGGGCAGGCCTGCTGCCTGGTGCCCGGAGAGCACTGGGGCCACTCTGCATGTGGACGGGTGCTGTCCCGACTGCCTGCGGTCCCTGCGGGACAGCCGTGTGAGGCCATCGGGGCTGCAGCATTGCGGCCAGGAGGGGCAGGGTGCCCGGTTCCTGCACTGGTCCTGCTGCGGTCACGTCTCCGGCTGCCCTAGGGCTGGGCTGGTGGGGGTGGGGGCCAGTGGGCCTTGCCCCCTCCAGACTGGCCAGCCGGCTCGTGCCCCCAGCCGTGTGAGGTCCGCGGGCCGCTGTCCACTGCCGGCTCCCTCCCCGTCCTGCTGTGCTCGAGGGCTGACCGGAGGTGTGGGTGTCAACAGCTCGTCCCTTCTGTGCTCAGGAGGGCACTCTTGGACATTCGTGCCCTGTCCATGTTGGGGGCGGGCTCCTCACTGGCTGAGGAAGAGGGTGGGAACATCTGTGTGTGGACACGGAGCCTTGCTTTCTTGGGGGTTTGGATAAATTCCCGAGTTGGATTGCTGGTCCCACGTGAGCGTGAGTTCAGCTGTCAGAAGCTGCTGCCCTGTCGTCCACAGCGGTTGTACAAGCTCAGGCCCCTGCATCCTTGCTGGTGGTCATGCTGGTTCCCGCCTCCCTGGGCTGACGGGGGAGGGCCCTTACTGCACTGTCAGCCTGCACCAGTCAGGGGCTCGTCCTGTACTGTCCGTCTGTCCAATTGTCCTTCCCAGCAGTGTCTGCTGACCCCTGTGTCCCTCTCCTGGCCTGTCATGTGCAGCTGCTCAGTCTTGATTCTGGAGGCAAGGGATCCTCCAGGCCCCTGTATTGTCCCCCTGTGGTCCTCGCTGCATTAATGCTTGAGCTGGTGGGTTTGGGGTCGCGGTTCCGTAGGCATTCAGTTTGGTACGTTGGAGGAACCCGGAATGACCCAGCACCCCTGTTCTCGTGTTTCGCTCAATCCGTGTGGCTACTTTTTCAGCCCTTGCTGTCTGATTACAGAAACTATAAGACAGTCTTGAAGTGAGTGGTAATCGTTTCTTCCTCCTGTTTTCTGAAAGGGCTTCTGTAGAGTTGGTATCCTTCTCCCCTTAGCTGTGTGGCCACTATCCGCGGTGGACTGTCACCCACGGTCCCTTTAACGGCCTGTGCCGCCTGCTCTCCCGCAGTGAGCTCCGTGGCTGGGTGTCTTCCCGGGGGCTTGCCCATTGATCTGAGTTGTCGGAGCTGCTGGCTCCACTTGTTTCTGCAGTTCCTGTCCTCCGGACGCCTGTAGGGTCTGTAGTGAGAGCTCCTCTTTCCTTCCTGCTGTTGCTGATTTGTGTCTTTTCTATTTGTTCTCAACTAATCTGGCTGCAAGTCTGTTAGTTTTATTGATTGCTTCAAAGAGCCAGGTTTTGATATCATCAATTTTCTCTGCTTATCCATGCCAATTTAACTGATTTCTGCTGACCTTTAATGTTTCCTTCCTGTGTCGGGGTTAATCTGTTTTTGTCAGATCATTGACTGGGGACTTATTTTCTAACGTATTTATTGCTACAAATTATCCTCGCCGCATTACTTTATTTACTCACATTTGTATATATTATCTTTTCATTCAGTTTACAATATTTTCTAATTTCCTTGGTGAGTTTTTTTCTTTACTAATGGTTATTTGGAAGTGTGTTGTTTTTCTAATAATTGTCTATTTCCAGGTCTCCTTCTGTTATTGATTCCTAGTTCTTTTGTGGTCAGAGAATATATTGTGCGTGATTCCAGTGTTCTCAGCTCATCGAGACTCGCTTTGTAGACTGAGGTGTCGGCAGCCTCCGCGGGCTCCTTGTGCGTCTGATGAGAACATGTGCTCAGCTGCAGGGGGCAGTGTCCTGGAACGTCACTCGGTCGTGTTCCTGGGGAGCGCTGACGGCCAGCTGATCCGTCTGCTCGTCTGCTCCCCAGGGAACGCCCGGCAGCCTCTGTTCCAGCGATCTCTGCTCTGTGTTTTCTCAAGCCATGACACGAGGCGCACCCTGAGGGCCTTTTGTGGTCTTCCTCGGTAGTCCCTGGTGCTGTTGTAACGTCTGCCTGGTCCCTGGTGGGCCTGTTGTCCTGAGTCCCCCTCTGTCTGATGTCAGCGTGGCTGCTGCAGCCGGCTCATGGCTGCTCTCATGTGACTCACTGTCCACTCCTCCGACGTGTAAGCTGTGACTTCCTGGTGCGAGGTCACGTGGGCCTTAAGAAGCGTCACTGCAGCAAGGCTAGTGCAGGTGCTGGGGTTCCAGCTGAGCTGTTTCAGATTCTGAAAGGTGATGCCATGAAAGGGCTGCACTCAATGTGCCAACAAATGTGGAAAACTCAGCAGTGGCCACAGGACTGGAAGAGGTCAGTTTTCTTTCCAATCCCAAAGAAAGGCAATGCCAAAGAATGCTCAAACTACCCTACAATTGCACTCATCTCACACGCTAGTAAAGTACCGCTCAAAATTCTCCAAGCCAGGCTTCAGCAATATGTGAACTGTGAACTTCCAGATTTTCCAGCTGGATTTAGAAAAAGCAGAGGAACCAGAGATCAAATTGCCAACATCTGCTGGATCATTGAAAAAGTAAGAGAGTTCCAGAGAAACATCTATTTCTGCTTTATTGACCATGCCAAAGCCTTTGACTGTGTGGATCACAATAAACTGTGGAAAATTCTGAAAGAGATGGGAATACCAGACTACCTCACCTGCCTCTGAGAAACCTGTATGCAGGTCAGGAAGCAACAGTTAGAACTGGACATGGAACAACAGACTGGTTCCAAATAGGAAAAGGAGTACGTCAAGGCTGTATATTGTCACCCTGCTTATTTAACTTATATGCAGAGTACATCATGAGAAATGCTGGGCTGGAGGAAGCACAAGCTGGAATGAAGATTGCCAGGAGAAATATCAATAACCTCAGATATGCAGATGACACCACCCTTATGGCAGAAAGTGAAGAACTAAAGAGCCGCATAATGAAAGTGAAAGAGGAGAGTGAAAAAGTTGGCTTGAGGCTCAGCATTCAGAAAACTGATATCATGGCATCTGTCCCATCACTTCATGGCAAATAGATGGGAAACAGTGGAAATAGAGGCTGACTTTATTTTGGGGGGCTCCAAAATCACTGCAGATGGTGATTGCAGCCATGAAATTAAAAGACGCTTACTCCTTGAAAGAAAAGTTATGACCAAGCTAGACAGCACATTAAAAAGCGGTGACATTACTTTGCCAACAAAGGTCCGTCTAGTCAAAGCTGTAGTTTTTCCATTGGTTGTGTATGGATGTGAGAGTTGGACTATAAAGAAAGCTGAGCACTGAAGAATTGATGCTTTTGAACTGTGGTGTTGGAGAAGACTCTTGAGAGTCCCTTGGACTGCAAGGAGATCCAACCAGTCCATCCTAAAGGAGATCAGTCCTGGGTGTTCATTGGAAGGACTGATGTTGAAGCTGAAACTCCAATACTTTGGCCACCTGTTGAGAAGAACTGACTCCTTGGAAAAGACCCTGATGCTGGGAAAAATTGAAGGCAGGAGGAGAAGGGGATGACAGAGGACGAGATGGTTGGATGGCATTGCCAAATCAATGGACATGAGTTTGAGTAAACTCGGAGTTGGTGATGGACAGGGAGGCCTGGCGTGCTGCGGTCCATGGGGTTGCAAAGAGTCAGACGCGACTGAGTGACTGAGCTGAGCTGACCTGGGCCTGTTGTGCCCGGCGCGCTGTCGTGTCTGCTTATGTCCGTCTGGCGCCTCTGCTTGGACTGAGCGGTGGGAGCAGAGCTGGCCCTGACCTGAAGCGGGTGACGGAGAGGTTCTGAACCCGAGCTCCAGTGTGGTCCCAGCTGGCCATGCGGGGCCGTGGTCCATGGCCGGCTGTAGGTGGCTTATCTGTCATGAAAACCTCTGTGTGTAGGGATGAATATGCCACTTTGATAGTTGCCTTGTTTCCCCTGTGTTCTTGTTTCTTTTCTCTCTTCTCCGTCCTTTCTTCAGAGTGACTGAGTGTAGTGTAGTGTGGTGTGTGACCTCCACTGTGGGCTCAAGGGTGTTTCTGATGGTGGTGGCTTGGAGTCAGTGACAGGTGTCTTTAGTGTCCCCTCAAGGAGCAGCCTTGCCTCCCCCGGGTGTGTGAGTGCCTTCCAAGGCTGCCATCTGCATCCCCTGCATACATGCTGGCTGACACAGTGTTCCTGGCAGTCCCTGCCCCCTGACTAGACCAGGAACCAGACACGATGTCTCTGTTTGCGTTGCACGTACCCACGGCACCCTTCAGCTCCTCCCGCAGGTACAGGGCCCCTTTGACCTGACGAACTCCTGTTAACATTTCCTTTCCTGCAGCTCTCTCCAGCTGGAAGAGCTTCTCTCAGCATTTTTTGTCTGAGAATCAATTTTATTTTGCCTCTGTTTTTGAAATGTATCTCCACTGGGTATAGAATTCTGGTTGACTGTTTTTTTTCTTTTCTTTCAGCACTTAGAGCTGTCATTCCATGGTCCTTCGGCTTCATGGTTTCTGAGGCTGCTGCCTTCCTGGGGGGCGGGCTTGGCCTCTTTGTCTTTTCCTCCATCCCCTGCTGAGCATTGCAGCCCCTGTTGCATCTCAGAGGCTCTGCCAGACCCCTGGGGGGCAGAGCTGGGAGGGGGTGACTCTGTCTGAGCACGGTGGCCCCGGGCTCCTGCAGGCTGCACAGTGAAGGTGTGACCCCCTCCCCTGTCTCCTTGCAGCCACCCAGATGGACCCAAGTGACCTCCAGGAGCTGTTCCAAGAGGCGTCGGCCAACATCGTCCAAATCAGCTCCAGCGGTGAGTCTGCCTGGGCCTTGCCCTGCCCTCACCCGGGCTGCCAGGTGTGCTGCAGGGGCCAGGATGGTGTGTGGTGCTGAGGGGGCCCATTAGGGTGCCCGCTGCCGTCCCGGGCGACTCAGCACCACAGGCCGGGGCGGGGTGAGCCCAGTGCTGTGGTTTCAGGTCGGGCCGTGACCTTGGCAGGCGCCCCCTCAGCCCCCATCTCCCTTCCCCCATCACAGGCCTGTGACCTGCCCAGTCCTTGGGGGCCAGTGTGTCGGAGCCTCCCTCAGACCAGCCGGGGCTGGGGGTGAGGGTGAGAGCCACGCCCCACGAGGCCTGGGCAGGGCTCCCCATGCCCTCGTGGCAGGGGTCAGTGCTTGCCCCGAGCCCTGAGCTCCACCAGGTCAGAGAGTGCTGACCCCGGGAGGACAGCAGCCCCTTCCCCAGACCCAGGGAGGCCCCCTGGAGGCAGCTCCGCAGAGCCCCTGAGCCCCACACGGGCCTGGGCCTTGCTGGAGTGTGACTGTGGGGTGGCGGGTGTGAGGCTTTGGCCTGCTGGCTCCGGCAGGTGCAGGGTCACTCCTCAGCCTCAGCACCCACATCCCTGGGCAGAGGCAGGGTGGGCGGCGCACCCGAGTGGGGACCGCCTGGTGGAGCCCCGGCTGCCCCTGACTCCGGCCCCTTCTTTTGCAGTGACCTCCTTGGAGCAGAGCCTCCGGTCCTTGGGGACGCCGGGTGACACGCAGGAGCTGCGGGACAGCCTGTGAGTGTGTGTAGTGCTCGTGGGTGTGCTCGGGGTGCCCTGTGCCTCCCGGCACACCGCTCTCTCTGCACACCAGCCCGACAGCTGGGTGGGCTCTCACGGGTGTCACTCCACGGGGCTCAACGATGTCCTGTGACACGCATGTACACTCAGGTGGCAGGGTGCATTCCACACACACCTTTTGCCTCACTGACTCTCCCCACACTTGCATACAGTACACCAGGGCACACGGAGGGCCGCACACTCGTGAACACTCCCGTGCAGACCCTGCATGACACAGGCTGCCACTGGCAGGTCAGTGTGCAGGTGTGGGCATACAGGCTGGACAGGAGGGGGCTGTGTGCTTGGGGCGGCCTCTGGGGGCCCCTGGCTCTTCTCTCAGGCTGGGTCGGGCTGGGCCAGGCTGCTCTCTGCTCCCTCAGGGTCGGGGCCCTGGAGGAGAAAGCAGGTATCTGCAGGGGTCCAGCCTGGCCAGCGTGGCCAAGACTGCCAGGCCCTTCTCAGGGCACCCTGGGGGCCACCCTGGAGCCCCGCGGGCTGTGACCCCAGAGTGGCTTGGGGTGGGGCCCCCTCAGGAGGAGGGCTGCGTCTGAGCCCTTGTCCCCTTTGCCTGAGCCATCCTGCGTGGGAAGGGGCGCTGTGGGTGGTGGACCGCAAGAGCTGGGAGGGGCACAGGCCGCTGCCGGGACCGCGTGTCTCTTCCTTGCATTGGCGTCCATGGGAGAGGCCGGGGCCTCTCTCCCCGGCGGCCTCCATCTGTCCAGCCCAGAGAAGGCTCTAGGGCCTCTCAGTCTCGGGGAGGCTGGGTGCTTGGGCAGACTGAGCCCGGTGCCCCAGTGGAGGGACACAAGGACCTATCCTCCGAGCACTGTGCCTGGACCCAAGGACCTTCCCGGTCCTGTTCCATGGCTGTCCCGCTTTGCTACCCCCTGCCACCCCTGCTCTGTTGGGCTCCTGAGATGGAGGCTGCCCTGTAGTCTGTGGGCCATGTGGGCCCTCCCTGACACCCCCATCGTTGCTCTGGGCCAACCGAGGAGTCTGGGAACCCCAGAGGAGAACCTGTCCTGTGGTAGTGGGTTTGACGGTCGGTCCTGGGGAGCAGGAACCCCAGGGACCAGTGCCTGCAGATGCCTCTTGTCGGGTCTCAGCAAGTGCCCGCCTTCAGCAGCTGCCCTGACCTGCCTGTATCTCTGAGACCCCTGGCCAGGCCCCTCGTAGGGCATCTTACGGTTGGGGGACCCTGGATGGGTGCCTGGCTGTACCCCGAGGTCTGGGCTGGTCACCTGTGGGCTCAGCATTTTCTTTGCTGTTGATTCTTGATGCTCTGAAGTTGGTGGTTATAGCAGCAGAACAGGACTTTCTCAGGGCAGGGGAGCCCTGCCCTTGGCTCCTTACATCCTGCCAACATCCTGGGGAGGAGGAGGGCGGGTAATGTTATTCCCATTTTACAGAGGAACAGTCTGAGGCTGAGACTGGACACATGGCCAGGCTGCGCCTCTCAGTGGACAGTCAGGCCAAAACCCACCCACTCATCTGTCCACCCACCCACCCGTCCTTCCTTCTATCCATCCACGCACGCAGACCGGGACCACCCTGCCCAGTCTTGGAGTCCAGAGCGAGGCACCCAAGGGCCCTTGGCAGATTTTGTGTGCAATTCTGTTGTAAATTCTTCTTTGAGTTTCTTTTTTGAAGTAGCCTGCATTGTTTTCCGATTGTGGAAGTAGCATATGCTCCCTGTGGGAACTTGGACGCCTGGGACATCGGAGGAAGCGCTGTGAGAGTGTTTTGGTATTTCCTGCCAGCCTCTCAAGTCCATAGGCGTTTTGTAGAATCACATTTAAGTGAATAGTGTTCTAGATCCCACTTTTGACGCTGGGGATTGGGGGTGCGCATGCCCCCATCACACACTGGGACCACGCCCCTCAAGGGCGCAGACTTACTGTCTGGCGAACTTGCCGTTGAGCTGAGTTGCTCGGGCTCCTCCGTCTTCAGCGTCAGGAACTGCCGCGGGATGTGTGTGTCGCCTGTGCTGCCTCCTGTGTCTGAGTCGGGCCCCTGGGTGGTGGCCCTGGGCTCAGGCGGGTGCTTTTCCCCACCCTGGCCCAGTGACCGGAGGGTGTTGTCACCAGTGGTCTGGAGACGCAGGTGGGTCCTTCTCTGGGCAGTCCCTGTTCTCCCACAGCCTCAGCTTGCAGGTCCCCAACCTGCTCCGTGCCTTCCTGCCCCCCTGCGGCCCCAGGACCCTCAGCCCTCTTACCCTTTCTCCCCGTGGGGCGGCCCCTGACCAGACTGCCTACCCCGCTGGTCCTGGCCTTCCAGAGCCTTCCATGACCCCTTCCCTGGGAGAACCTGTGTATCTCCTGGACCGTTAGCATTTTCAGATGACTTGAGACCAGTGCAGGGTTTTCAAGTCTGTATTTTCTCCATGTTGCCAGTTGCCAGTTTTTTATTTCGCCAAGTAAGGATATTAAAAAAAAATGAGTACAGATCATCCATTGTGCCACCACATTAAAAACAAGGTATTTCGGTAGATGGGATCTGATCGCAGAAGAGAAGACAGTCTTTCAGATTGAGTAAGTGTGGTAGAGCCTACAAGAGCCTCACAGGGCTGAACCTGTTTTTCTCATCTTACATGAGACGGAGGTGGGCTTGCTCATTTCTGTCGCCAACCATGAGTGGCCCTGTGCCGCCCCCCAGCACGGACTCCCAGACTGGCCGAGGTGGCCTGGTCAGTGACAGTGGGGCTTGTTGGCGTCAGCCCAGGGCACTGTTGGGCCCCTCGGGAAGGACCGCTGAGTGGATGGTCCTTCCAGGAGCCCTGGGCAGGAGGTCTGCCCCGTGGCCTCAGCTCTCTGCTGGACCATGTCCAGCCACATGCCGAATTCCTGCCTTCTGCTCCTCAGTGAGGCCTGGCTGGTCCCCTTCCCGCTCGGGGTCAGCTCCTGCACCCGAGCCTCCAGCCCTCCCTCCACAGCCGCTGCTGCCCATCACCCGCTTTGTGTGCGATGCCGCCCCTGGCATGGCCTGCCTACCCCACCCTGGCTCCACCTGTAGCCAGCCTGCCCCTCCTCCTGCCGACGTGCCAGGCTGGGGCGCTGGGCCCTGGGCTGCCTGAGTGTCCGGCCTTGGAGACCCTCCCTGGACACAGAGGGTGTGAGGTGGGAGTCCAGGCTGATGCTCCTTGAATACGATCATGCCACCTCTCAAAGGGTCTGCCCTTTGGATACCTCGGCACCTTTCTCAGTGCTTACTCGGCCTTTCCACGCGGGTGCGTCTGGGGTGGTTCCGTTTCACTCGTCGCTGTCCCGAGACACTGCTGTGTTGTCTCAGTCACTGAAGCTTGTGGGCAGTCTGACATCAGCGTGTACGTCCTCCAGCACTGCCCATCTTTTCTGAAGTTGCTTTGGATACTTCCGATTGGTGGGTTCTCTGGTGTCTGCTCCTGGGGCCAGGCCAGGGCCCTGCCCTCGCTTGGGCCTATGAGCCTGCAGGACACCTGCAGATAGGGTCTGTCCAGAGTCACTCTGTCCACAGGGCCCGAGGTCAGCCCTGAGTGGCGAGGGACTGGCCTTTTCAGCCCTCCAAGGTCACACTCAGAGTCATAAACTGAGGGTATGGCAGAGACCCTGGGCCCGGGCTCCCGTGTTCCTGGGTCTGGAGCTGGGCCTCTCACTGTGGCCCCCAGAGGGATGAGCTGTCCTCAGTGCTGGGCCCAGGGCCGTTTCTGCGGCCACCCTGCTTCCTGGCCCAACCAGTGCTGATCCCAGGGGTCCCTCCGGAGGGAGGGCTCATGGCTGGGCCCTGGGGGTGCAGGTGCTGAGGCTTGTGTGCAGGGGCCCTGGGGGCCTGGGGACGCTGGCCTGAGCTTACGGCGTCATGTCTTCCACACCTCACCTGCCCCCTCCGGTTGCTCCCTCTCGTCTGCCCCTCCCTGGGCCTGTCTGCGTGTCCTCCCTCCTGTCTGCGTGTCCTCCCTCCTGTCCGTTCCGTTTCCTCTGCCTGGCTTCTCCCATCCTGTGCGTTGTCCTCTCCCCCCACGAGCGCCTGCCCACCCTGCTGCCTGCTGTGTCATCTCCCTTTCCTGCTGCCCCTGCCCTGTCTTCTCCCCCTGCACCCCCCATGCCCGCCCCCTCCCAGGCACACACTGCAGCAGGACACCAACCGCATGATCGCGGCCAGCGCCAGCACCTTGAAGCAGACGGCCGAGCTCCTGCGGGGCTGCCCCCAGGTACGTTCCCGGGGACCGGAGGGCGGCGGGGGCCTGGGCACAGAGTAGGGTGACGGATGCCGAACACACGGCCGCTTGGGTAGAGAGCGCAGATTCCACCATTCGCTGGGCACCAGCGCAGGCTGGACAGCGGTGTGGGTGCCTGGTGGCCCCAGGCCACGCGCCCTCAGAGGGCAGGCCTTGCCGAGCTGGTCTCACCTACCGTGGCTGGCCTGCTGCTGCCCCTGCAGCTCCTTCCTGCCCATGGGCTCGCGTGGGGTGTGTGGTGACAGTGAAGGCTGGGTTTGGGACTGGAGATGCAGGGCCTGGGGAGTGTCGCAGCCCTCCCAGGAGCTGATGGGAGTCGCTGGGGCAGGAGGGGCCTGGGAGCCTGTGTCTGAGTCCTCGTCCCAGGGCCTGGGACTGACACGGCTCCGTTGGTACTGATGCTGCCTGCTGAGAAGAGGGTGGGGGCTCCTGGTGGCCCGGCGGTGCCAGGATCTAGGGCCTGCCTGCCTGTTCCCTCGTTCGTCTGTATGTCCTGGGCACTGGCTCTGTGCCAGGCTTCATTCTGAAACTGGGTGCAGAGGTGAGCAGGAGACAAGGTCTCGTTCCATCGGGAGGACAGAGGCCGTGTGTGAGTGCCGAGGTGCTGGGGGTTGGATGGCCGGTTTGCTGCCTGCAGTTCTGATGTGGGTGTGAGACACAGCCTCACCTGCGGTTAGGTGCTTCAGGGCTCGGCTCCACCCACCACATGACCTTCAGCTTGGGCCTGAGACCTCCTGAGCTGTCAGGTGGGGGTCGTAACACCTCTTCCCGGAGTGGTTTGTTCTGGGGACCAGACAGGCATAGCACGTGAGAGCTGCAGGCCTCGTGGTCAGTGCGGACGGCGTGTGTGTGTGTGTGTGTGGATTGGGTGGAGATGGTGTCCATGGCGATGCTGGCTGTGCCCCTGGAGCCTTTGCTGGCCTTTGAGGGGATGGAGGTGGTGGTAAAGTAGGTGGGGTGAGCCCAGCTCTAATGACGGAGGGAGTAGAGATGCCTGCGAGGCTGGGGCCGGATGTGGTGCAGGTGCCAGGCGGGCCGGGAGGAGCCCAGGAGCGTGCCCAGGGATGGAGGTGCGGCAGGGACGGGATGCGGCCTTGGCTGACTGTTGAAGCTCCACTGTCTCTGCAGCAGGAGCGTCTTCAGCTAGACCGCCTGAAAACTCAGCTGTCAGATGCCGTCCAGCGCTATGGAGTGGTGCAGAAGGTGAGTCCCCCGCAGGTGCCTTGAGCACCCACCCTGGGCCAGCCTGGGACAGTCCCATTCCTCAAAGCAAGGGGGGCCGCCTTGCAGACCTTTGACGGTCACCAGGACCTGGCTGGTGTGACCTCAGTATGTGTGCAGTGAGGGACGTTTTCCTCTGGAGTGCTGCCCCAGAGGGTCCTCGCAAGAGCCCCCTGGAGGTGGGAGGACAGGTGTCTCTGTCCCTGCACCCCCGCCCAAGTGTGTGGGAAGAGACCGTCCAGCAGATTGTCCCCCAGGGACACCCAGCCAGGCTCCCAGTTTTCCAGAGTCCTCGGGCAGCTCCATTCTCTCGGAGCTGAAGATGTGCTTTGCTGTTGGTCGTTGTCCAGAACTTCGTGTTTATCTGACCATTTCTTCTCTCGTCCCCACTTTTTCTGTCCTCCCCACCTTCCTCCTCTTGTACTTTATCCCACAGAAAATTGCAGAGAAGTCCAGAGCACTGCTTCCCACTGCGCAGAGGGGTGGCAAGCAGCAGGTAGGTGCTGAGTGTTTCCTGCAGTCAGTGGGCGTCGGGACAGCATGGAATCCGTGCCCTTGGGACTCCAGGGAAGGGCAGGAATGACCAAGGTCTTACTGTACAGCACAATATTCATAGATTTAAATACGTATATGAGAAAGGAAGTGTGAAAATCAGTGATCCCAATGTCAAGTAGCTAGAATAACAACAAAAAGTTAAATCCAAAGAAAATACATAGGAAAAAGCAGAAATCAATGAAATATAAAATAGATGCACAATAGACAAATTCAACGAAGCCAAAAGTTGGTTCTTTACAATGAGTAATAAAATAAAGTTCTAAATTACTAGTATCAAGAATGAAAATACATATATTGTTAAAGCTTCTAAAAATGAAAAAAGTAATAAGATACTGTGAACAACTTTATGTCTATCAATTTAAAAACTTACATACAAATTTTTAAAGAAAAATGTAACTTATCAAGATGTGTAAAAAATCTGGAAAGTGCAGTATTTATTAAAGAAATGGAATCCATAATTTAAAAACATTCTAGCAATGAAATTTCAGACCAGATGGCTTTAGTGATGAATTCTCTCAAATATTTGAGGAATAAATAATACCAGTTTACACAAACACTTCCATAGAATATAAAAAGAGAATACCTCTCACCTTGCTTTATGAGGCTACTAAATTTTAATTCCAAATTCTTATGAGGACTTTGCAAAAAAGAAAATAACAAGATGTCTTATAAGCCTAGAAGCAAAGACTCCTCTAACTAAAATATTAAAAAAAATTCTCTATTTGGCTGCACTGGTCTTAGCTGTGGCGTGTGGGATCTAGTTCCTTGACCAGAGATTGATCCCAGGCCCACCACATTGGCAGCATGGAGTCTTAGCCATTGGGTCACCAGGGAAGTCCCCTAACCAGAATACTGATAAACTTAAGTCTAGCAATGTATAGAAAGATAATACACCATTCTAAAATGGGATTTATTCTAGGAGTGCAAGATTGGTTTACATTCAGAAATAATCAGAATAATTTATCATGTTAATAACAGTAAGTAAGAATATCTACTTGATCATCTCTAGACATGGAAGAGCATTTGGTAAAATTCAACATCCACTTAGGGAGATGCCAAATTTTCCACAAATGAGGACTAGATAGGAATGCCTTTAATCTGATGAAGGGTATCTTCAAAAGTCCAGCAGTCAGCAGCACACTTACTGGTGAGGTATTAAAATATTTTCTCCTGAGAGTGAGGATGTGACATGGTGTCCAGGACTATTGCTTCTGTTCTGCATTGTACTGCAGGGAATATCCACTGCAATAAGACTGGAGAAAGAAATAAAAGGTGTAGAAACCGGGAAGGAAGAAATCCTCTCACAGAAAACATGATTGTATAACTAGAAAATCTGAATGAATCTGGCAAAACTTAGAATTAATAAGTGAATGTAACAGGATTTCTGTTACCATGTTAATGTGCAAGAAAACATTGTTGGTGCCAGCAAAAGACAATTCGGAAATAATGCTAAAAAGAGATAGCACTTATCATAGCATCAAAACTAGGAAGAAATCTATGACCAGTTGTTGAAGCCTCTGTATAGAAAACTACAAAACATTACTGAAGAGAGATTACAGAAGATTAAATAATTGAGGGGCATGCTGTATTTGTAGATTGGAAAATTTGATATATTAAGAAATCAGTTAAAAAAAAAGAAGTCAGTTCTCACTGAATGGTTCTATACGTTCAATACAATCCAGATAAAAATCCTAGCAGGTTTTGAATGTGTGTTTAAATTGTCAAGCTGATTACAAAATGTATATGGAAATATAAAGGGCCCCAAATAATGAAGACAGTTTTGAAGAACAGAACTGGAGGATTTACACTCCCAGGTATCAGAACACAATATAGAGCTATAGGTATTAAAACAGCGTGGTATCAGCTGACGGCTAAGCCAACAGACCCGTGGGAGCAGAGCTGCCTGTAGACACAGACCCATACATACATGGTTGCCTGGGTGGAGGGCGGTGCACCGCCACACGGTGGGAAATGCAGATCTGCTCAGGGCTTGATGCTGATCGGCGGACGGCTGAGCTTGGACAGGTCCTGTTGTGCACACGGCAAGTCCAGGTCCAAACACACCGCCTGCTGGTGTCCATGTCGGAGCTGCTGGGGAGCAGCGTGCAGGACAAGACGTGTACACAGGCGGCAGCCGGCTCAGGCCGTGTGGACCTTCCAGGCCAGGGCCATTGCTCTGTGCCTGGAAAGGGACTGGAGGACTTTGGGCACCAGGCTGCCACCCCCTGCAGATCCTTCCCCTCAGCTCGCCCAGCTCAGAATGCTCGCCAGGATCACAGATCTGGATGTGAACAGTAAGGCAGGGAAGTGTCTGCAAGCTGCCCTTGGAGGCTGTCATCCTCCCGCACAGATGAAAATGCACTTGCTGTAAAGAAAAGGGTAAACTTGACTTTGTTAAAGTCTGTACACCCCTGAGAGTGAAGAAGTGACCCTCAGAGTGAGCAAAGGCATTTGCACAATGCATATCTGAAAAGGACTTAACATCCACAACATGTAGAGATCTGTTACGAATCATGAGTGCAGATGGCTGCATATCTTGTCTCCTACATAAGATAAATGCAGACAGTTCAGAAACATAAAAGGGCAAACACCTTGGGCGGGCATATTGGAATGGTTGGTGAGCACATGGATGTGATCTCAGCGTGTTGTTGGAAGCAGAGTGAACCCACGGTGCTCCATCTCTGCACACCTTGCACCCACCAACACAACTGAAAAGAGCAGGTGAAAACTCGGGAGGTAGCCACGTGCCAGGGAAGCTGTGGGGCAGCTGGAGATCTCACGCGCTAGCCGGGAGTGTGCGTGGGGCCACTACTCTGGTTGCTGAACATGTTTGTGGAGTGAAAGGTCTTCCTGCCTTGGCCTTGCAGCTCCTCCCAGGTGTGTACCCACTGGAAAGTCACGTCAAAGAACGCTGAACACAGCACAACACGCAGCAGCTGACACCTAGGGGAGGGCCAGCCTAGAGCATTTGTGCTGAATCCGTGCATGGAAGACTGGCAGCAGAAGGGATCGTCTGTGGCCAGCAAGGCCTGGTGACACCTCAGACACACGCTGAGCGCAAAGAGCACAGAGGTCCAAACCGGGCCGAACCAACAAGAGTGGGAAGCCAGACAGTTCTTGCTTGGGGGCAGCGTCATGAGTAGGGGCCCGGAATGTCCGTATCTTGACCCGGAAGTCTTCCTTTTGTTACGGCTCACAGACCTGTCCACGTGTGATTTGTGCATTCAACTGCTCATGCCCTATTTCAGTAGAATGTTTCCTAAAGGGGAAGAGAATGGCCAGCAGTGCTTCCGAGAGTTATGAAAGGTGATTTCCAGGAATTTCGCAGCCTGTAGTTGATGAGCTGACACTGCAGATTCAGCCTGGGGATGCTGCCGCACTGATGCTCGAGTTTGGGGCTGCCATCTGCAGGCTGGTTGTCCTGGCAGGAGCCAGGGTGCCCACCTGTTCTCCTCCAAGCGGAGTGCCGGTGTGGCTGGGAGCAGGTCGACCTCCTTGGCTGTGTTGGCCGCTGCCTCAACTGGGTCCTGGCTCAGCCTCCAACCCGGGTCAGGCCCAGCCAGTGGGCAGCGCCCGGGGGCCTCTGGGCCGGCTGCTGTCCCCAGGCAGGGCGGAGCCTGCCCCACGCCGGGAACATGCTCCAGCGTACTGCGCCAGCATTAGCGGCGTGAGGTCCCTGGAGCCCCATCCCCGTGTCTCACCTGGACCTCTGTGGGGGCGTCCTTAGTCGTGTGTCCCTCTCAGAGCCACCCCCCAGCGGCGGCTCCATTACTTACCATGGGGCCAGGGGAGGGTTGGAGCATCTTGCCAGTCCTTTGTTCCAGGCTTTGCAGAGCTCCCAGAGATGTCCATCAACTGACCACAGCCTTTGCTGTTTGGAGGGATAGACGACCAGACTCGGGGCTGCTGCACAGAAGCCGTGTTTCCCAAGAGTGAGACCGGCTCTCGTCCTGACCCCTGCCCTCCCACCCAGGTCACAGATACTCCCACGCGGAGCCCTGGGTCAGAGTTTGCGAGACCGTGGCCCGTTTCCCAGAGTCCCTGAGAGCCCTGGGTCCTGCCTGCCTGCTCACTGGGCTCCATCTCTTCTCACGGGAAACTGCTTGCCTCCCCCCACCCCCCCCACCACCACCCAGCAGTCACGTTGGATTGTTGGATCGTGGGCATGAAACGGACATGTTGGAGCAGGACCCAAGCCCTTGGCCTTGGAACAAAGAGAAAGCTGCCTTTGTTGGCTGCCCGGCGAGCTGGAAAACCATCCCTTGCCTGCGTCCTGCGCTGTGGCCCCAGCGCCCTGCCAGCAAACCCTTATCCCGGCTTCGGAGCTCAAGACCCAGACCGAGGCTTTGTGAGAAGATGGTGCTTTCTGATCTGTTCAGGAGGGGGCTGGGCGGGGCCAGCTGCCTCTCCCTCCATGGTGCCTTGTCCTGAGCCACTTGGGGAGGCGAGCCGTACTGTGGGAGCCAGGGCACGCGCCCACGCCTGCAGGGAGGCTGGGCCCCTTTCCTCTCGCTTTCTGGGCCCTTCTCTGAAACCGGACTCCAGGTGGCCAAACGTGGCACCTGTGCGTCTGAGCCACTGTCACTGGCTCGCCCGTGCTCCTGGTTGTGCTCCCAGCCCATGCTGGCCAGGTTGTGCTCACAGCAGGGCTGCAGAGGGCGTGTCCGCGCCTCAGTCCCCGGGTGCATGGCCTGGGCTCTTCCCGCGGGAGGTGCCCCGGGCCAGCGGAATCAGTGGCGCTCAGGGCCAGGTGCTCTGTTTTGGAGCAGCCTCTGCTGCAGGGAGGGTGGTACCTTCGGGATCCCCTGCAGGCACAGGGCACACCCCCCCCCATGCCCCATGACTCAGTCACACGGGGACTTCCGGTGCCCCATGGCCCCTGACTGGGGCTTTCACACGTGCTTCCCGGTCAGGGCCTTGCTCTCATCCCCGTCCACCCTGTCCATGGCTCTGGACACAGCCCCATCACATGGACTTGGAGGCTGGGGTGGGAGAAGTTAGGAACATGCTAGGTCACACAGCTGTCAGCAGAGCTGAGCTCTCCCAGTCCCCTCGCCTCGGGGGCCTAGGGCAGGCCGTCAGTGAGGGGTCCCAGGTGCCATTCCTCCTGCGGGGAGTGCGGGTGTGCCCGGCAGGGGTGGGGTAGGCGGAGAGCACAGTCCCGCGGTGGACATAGGCCACAGATCGCGGGTGTGGGTCGCTCGCTGTTCCCGTCTGGCAGAGGAGAAGGCCGAGGCTGAGTGCGCCCAACAGGCCTGAGCCTCCGGCGGGGCCGCTTCTGGGCCTGACCTGATGCGCCCCACAGCCCAGGCGGGCCTGGGGCCGCAGAGAGGAGGCAGTGTGGGCACGTGGCCTGGCCCCGGCCAGCCCCCGCCTGCTGCTGCCCGCCTGGCACCGCTCGCTTCCTCCGCCCACAGTGGGAAGGGAGGTGATAATTGCCACCTTGGACGAGGAGCGCTCGTCAACAGAGTTTTTAGATCTTTTATATCAATCCATCCACGTGTTTATTTATGTAAAGGCCTCCCTGGCTCTGGGGATGAGGTGAACACGTGGTCTGGAGGGAGCGCGCTGGCTCTGGGAGGAGGACAGCTGCATGTGGACACGCCCCCTGTGACCGTGGGGCGCATGCCCACCCTGCTGGGGCCCACTGCAGCCAGGCCTGGGACCACCTGAGCTGGGCGCTCAGGCTGCAGACAGGGCCCGGTGTCTGCCCCCCATCACAGTGACCCCAGCACACGTGGCCCTGTGGGGCAGCCCCGACTGACAAGGCTGGGGCCTGGCCCCTGCAGGGCCTGGCTGGGGGCTCTGGGTGCCGGGTGCAGGCCTGGCCCGGCAGCAGTAGGCTGTGTGGTAACGGTGGTCTATGTCTCGGCAGAGCCCCCAGGCCGCCTTTGCTGAGCTGGCTGACGATGAGAAGATCTTCAACGGGGGCGATGGTGTGTGGCCGGGCCACGAGCAGGCGCTGCTTCCTGAGATCACCGAGGAGGACCTGGAGGCCATCCGGCTGCGCGAGGAGGCCATCCTGCAGATTGAGGTGCGGCTGCGTGCATACACGCGCGAGTTGGGGCAGGGAGCCGCTTGTTTTTTCCCCTAGTTTGCACGTGTGTAATACATGCTGCCAGACATTTCCCTAGCCAGGTGTGGTCTGTGACAGCTGCCGAAGGTGTGCAGGCCCCTGCGTGGGTGTGCAAGTGTATGAGGACGTGCAGGAGCAGGTGTGCAGGTGAGTGTGCGAGCCAGGGAGTGTGCACTGGGGCCTGTCTCCTGTTGTGGGAAGTGCGTTTATTAGGATGTGGCTCTTGGGGTGCTTGGTTCTCTTGGTGGTGGCCCCGAGCCCCTGAGTGTGGGTTCTCTTCTCCCTCTGGGCTTTGGTTTTACCTGCAGGAGAAGGTACTGGGGGCCTGCCTGCCCCCAGCCCCCAGGAGCTGCGTTTCTGGAACCAAGTTTCCCTGAAGCAGCTTCTTTTAGAAAAACGGGAACTTGGGCTGAAAACCTGAGTCACTGGCTGAGGACCCGTCACCGTGTCCGCAGTGGGCAGGTCTGCACTCCTGAGGGCGGTGGACACCCCTTACTGCCACCCCCGCCCCCACTCTGCCTGGCAGAGCCTGCGAGGAAGGCGCACGGGCCGTCTCGGAAGATAGGCCTCTTCTCCTTGCCGAGCTGGTCCAGGAAGGACTGGGGACACACGGATGTTCTTCCCTGCTGCTGGCACATGGGGCCTGCTTCTCCTGAGAGCTCAGGGGGCTGAGCTCTGGGCTGCCCTCACAGCTCAGGGGGCTGGCAGGCCTGTGGCAGGAGGGACCCACTGCTGCTTCAGCTCCAGAACTGAAGGACCCTCAGGTGCACAGCCTTCGGGCCACCTGTCTTGGTGGGATGAGGGGCTCCAGGGTTGACATGGCCTTAGCCTGGCGTGCAGGGCTCACAGGTGCAGACTCCACTGCAGGGCCCAGCTTGGGGACCCAGGTGGGTAGGGTGACCCCCCAGAAACATGGGGAGCTCCTGAGCAGGGGCTCCACTCTGAGGTCCAAGCCCCAACGGGCCATGAGGTTGGTTTGCTCAGGGCGTTGGCCTGTGCCTTGACGGCCTCTCATGGCTGACACGCTGCAGGAGGGGACCCCAGGGTGGGGTTAGGGAGGCCCAGGCGCTGCCAGCCCATCCTCGTCCTTCTCTGAGCGGTGAGTATGGCGGGTTCACGGGGGCCGTGGACAGGACCTGAGGCCAGCCTTGCTGTTCTGCTGTGTCCTCACCTGTGTGTGGGTGATGGGGTATGCAGCAGGCGTCGGCTGGAGGGTGATGGGCTGGGGTCAGGGTCAGCACCCCTGGCCTCCTCCCCTCCCCTCCCTCCCTCCTTCCCTCCTCTCCCTCCCTCCTTCCCCTCCCCCTTTCCCCCTGTCATCTTTGGAAATGGGAAAAACGGACAGATTGTCATTGGCCATCACTCAGCCCTCCCCCAGGTTTGAGCTGTCCTGATACCAGCGCGGGCCTGGGCGGAGACTTGCCGGCCCCGCGCCTGCCTATGGCAGCAGAGACCTGTCCCGGGCGGGTGGCAGCCCCCAGCCCCTCCAGGGGCGCCTGAGCCCCGCTGCCCAGGTTACTCGGGTTGTCCTCCCGGGTCTGCAGGGCCAGGCTGCCGTGGGTGGGCAGAGCTCTGGGGAGGGGCTGAGGGAGCAGCCTCAGGACAACACGTGGGGCATTCCTCTCCCTGGCTGCTGCAGAGTGTTCCACGTGGAAACTGCTTACCGCACCCACTCTGCCCCCAAGTTCCCGGGGGGCGTTGTATGCACGTGGTTTATGCACGCACAGCGTCACCGGACGGGGGGAGACCTGTGGTCCCGGAGCCTCTTTGAGGCCCTGGGCTTCCCTCAGGGACCTCCCTGTTGGCTGGGCAGTGGGGGTGTGGACAGATGGGGAAACCGAGTCCTGACTTTAGGTCCAAGTCTCTGCTAGCCGGCTGGTGACCTGGGGCTTGCTCCTCACCTCAGTCATTGCTTCTGTGAAATGGGTGGGTCAGAGCACCTGGGCTTGCCGGCCAGGGGTCAGGTGGTGAGTGGGCAGGAGACTGAGGGCTTCTGGGGCCTCTGTTGATTCTGGGCCCTTGCCTGGCTCAGTGGCCCCTGGACGTGCATGGTTAGGTTTCAGATGAGGATGTCTTGCTATTTGAGGAGATGGGCACCTTGAGGACCGCCATGCAACCTCCCAGGGCAGCCCATCCCCTGGCAGCACCAAGTGTCCTCTGAGGCCCCCTGGGGGCTCTCTGTCTGTGGGTGGATGAGATGCCCCCACCGCCCTCTTCCCTCTTGCCCCACAGACCCCCCAGCCCCTGCCCTGGGCTCCTGTGCCAGGCCAAGGGGAGCGCGTAGACTGCAGGAGCCAGGCCTGCGGGTGGGTCGCTACAACGGGAGGGCACTCACAGTACACTCTGGGGTGCCTCTAGGGCTCCTCCTTCCTGCCCTGATTCAGCTGATCTCTGGCCCCCCACCCGAGGGCCCCTCCCTGACACTGGTGCAAGGTGGGTCAGCACTTGGACCCCAAAACTCCCATGGCCCCGAGGGTCAGGGTACCGGTGCCGCTGGGGACGCTCGGGTTGCAGGCGGGGGTGCTCGGCACATAAAGTGGGGCACCCCTGGCCCACTGAGCCCTGCAGCCTAGGCCGGGCCGAGGACTGCGAGGCAGGGCGGGCTGCTCCCAAGGGGCAGGGGTGTGCCTGCGGGGCCCCTTCCCCAGAGGGCGGGGACAGGGCCTCCAGAATGGCCTTCTCCTGGGGGGAGGACCCCTCTGGCCAGCGGCTTGCCCAGTGTCCCCACAGCGGCAGCCGGCTCACTCCATGGGCCTTCAGCACACTTGCTGTTGGTCAGATGCTAGCATGTGATCCCTGCTCCGTCTCTGGAAGGCTGCCCCCCACTCTGCTGGCCCCACATGGCCCCGTACTCCTGCTGCCCTCTGGCTGGCTCTCGGGCACATCCTCCCGGGCCTTCTCCAGCCCTGGGGCGGTGTGGCCCCCCTCTCAGACCTGGGCTTTTCGCTGCCCCCTAAGTGGGCTCCCTTGTCTCCCTCCCCCCACAGTGGGGCCGAGGTCACAGGGCCAGGACCTGGCCAGTGCGTCCCTCCTCCCCCGCCCGCCCCCCCGAGCCTGGACCCTGCCGATACGTCAGCAACTTGTTCCTTTTTATCTTCAGGTTTTGGCTCAGTTGGTCCATATCTAAAGTTTCACTTCTCTGCATTGTCTAGCATGCTGTTTAATTAATTATCTTGTTACTATTCCTTCTCCTGCAGGAGATTGTAAGCCCCATGGAGGCAGGGGTGTTGTCTATCTTAGTCTGGCTATGTTCCTGCTCCTGCAGGCTGCCTGGTTCTGTCTGGGCACCCAGTGCTTTTCTCTGGGACAGACAGATTGAAGGGCTGGTGGGGAGAGAGGGATGGATGGTGAGGGTGTGGATGGATGGGGGATGGATGGATGGATGGGGGTGTGGAAGGATGGATGGTGGGGGTGTGGATGGATGGGGGATGGATGGATGGATGGTGGGGGTGTGGATGGAGGGGGTGTGGATGGAGGAAGTGTGGATGGATGGATTGTAGGGGTGGATGATGGTTGGGGGGTGTGGATGGATGGATGGATGGGGGATGGATGGATGGTGGGGGTGGATGGTGGTTGGGGGTGGATGGATGGGGGATGGATGGATGGTGGGGGTGGATGGATGGGGGAGGTGTGGATGGATGGATGGTAGGGGTGCAGATGGATGGGGGATGGGTGGATGGTGGGGGTGGATGATGGTTGGTGGATGTGGATAGATGGATGGTGAGGGTGTGGATGGATGGATAGTGCGGGATGGATGGTTGGGGATGAATGATGGGGTTTAGATGGCTGGCTGGAGAGGATGGGGGAGGGGTAGGTGGGTGGATGAGGGTGGGTGGGTGGCTTTGCGTGTTGGGACTCCACAGAAGATTTGTGTTTTAATAAGAGGGCTCTGCTGCCTGTATGTATGTGCATCTGCAGCCCACACAGAAGTCTGGTAGCGCAAGCACCCCCGTGCTCCACATTTACTGAAGCCGAGTTGGAGGCTGGGAGCGGGCGCTTCACTTGGTCGGGCCCCGGCAGCTTGTGTGAGGCAGAGCCGGGACTGTGGCCAGCGCCCGGCTTGAGAGCAGGCCCGTCCTGACGGCGGTGCTCTGCTGTCTTCCTGGCGGAGGGTGCGGCAGGGCCCTGAGGCCGCCTGTGCGGAGCCCAGAGCCCAGGAGCACGCCCGCGAGGCCCAGCTCTGCCTCCCACCTGGTCACTCAGCTCTGGTCACGGGAGCTTCCTGCTCTCTGGAGGACAGGGCAGGGCCGGGTCTCCCTAGGGGTAGGAGGAGGTTGAATGAGATGGGCGTGTGCCCCCAGCCACTGCCAGGGTGTAGCAGACTTGCTGAGGTCCACCTGGGGCGGACCAGAGTCACCTGTGGGCTCCCAGTAGGGTCTGCCCACGGCATGCACTGCCCCGGCCCCCTCTGCCCCACCCGTTGCACCTGAGCTCACCTGTGAGGCCTGGCGCCCCTGCCTCCCTCCTGGGCTGCTGTGTCACCTGACCCACCAGCTGCTCTGTTGCCATGGCTACCTGGCAGGCTGAGGAGGGAGGGGGCTGGGGTGAGGAGGGGGCCTGGCCGCTCTACCCCTAGCTGGCGTGGTAAAGCCAAACCCCAGGGGGAGGTTGATCTGGCCAATGTCTAGCTATAAATATGGGAATCAATCAATAAACAAAGTTTGGCTGTTCCATTAGCTGGAACAGTCGTCTCTGTAGGTGGATGGTTGCCAAGATCCTAATTATGAGAAGAGATTGCGTGGTAGCGAAAAATGCAGCAGTATTTTCTTTCCTTTCGTAGTTAAAAGTGGAGGGAACACACACGCACACACAGACACGCGCACCGAGGTTTTATTATGTCCTGTGCAAGGCTGTTATTCCTCAGTGCCAGTAAAAGAAGAGAGAAGATTCCGTGAGAGCTTTTAATGAGTTCTAGTTTTAGAAGCAATCAGGATAATAATTGCATGATTTAAACATTTACTAAGTTAAGGTGTTTTTCGTCTCTCCCGCTCCCTGGTGCCCACGCCTGGGCACACGGCTCCTGGTCCCTGCCACAATCATGCACCACAGCTGGGGCTGCCCCTGGGGGCTCCATCCTGGCAGCTCTGGGGGCTTCTGGGCTCCCAGCATGGCCCCCCGTGACCTGCCTGGCCTTGACCTCAGTCCACAGGCCTGAGGCCTGGCCTTCCGCCTGGCTCCTGGGTCGGGCTCTGGCATGTCCACACTTTGTCTCGGCACCCTCCATCAGGAGCCGAGCCTGCTCAGGTGCCCAGCACGGTGACTGTCCATCCTGGCTGGTTGCCTGTGTCCTGACGCTGCCGCTCCCCCTCGTGCCCACAGTCAGCTCCCCTGACTAGCACGCCCCGGGCTCCAGGAGTGGTTTGGGGGGGGAGCTGTGGGCCGAGGAGGGCCTCCACGGGCAGAGGGCCCGGGGCTGGGGGTGGGACCATGGCCCCTGGACCTCCAATGCCGGCTCTCTACTACTGGGCCATCCTGGTAGGGCTTCCTGCCCCAGACCTCCCAGAGGGTGGGGGCTGTGTGCCCACAGGTTGATCTGCCTGGGAGCTGGGACCCTGAACTCCCATCCCTGAGCAGCGCCCTGGAGCCAGCCTGATCGTCTCTGAGATCACCTTGGAGGCTGCTGCCTGGGGATCCCGGAGGGGTCTGACCCTAGGCTTGCCTGCCACCCTCTCCCCAGAGTCTGTCCTGCTCTGCCTGGAGGGTGCCCCCTGCTGACCCCCTCACAGTGGCTCAAGGTCGGGGGTCAGGCCTCAGGTGTGCCCGTGGGTCAGCCTGGTGCTAGGGCAATGTCCCCCGAGTCTGCCCTTGCTCCCTCAGCCACCAGGCTGGTGGAGATGGGCTGCAGCCCAGGGCCCTGGGACACCCCCACTCCCCTTATTCCCTCCAAGGTGGCCTGAGCGTCTGTTCCAGCGGGTGGTTGGTTCATCCCTGAACAACTCAGAGGGTCACGGGCCTGAGGGTGAAGCGGGGCCTCAGGACGGTCTCCCAGGGACATGGGGCCGCAGTGCTCCTCAGTGTCAGCTCAGAGGTGGGCAAAGTCAGCATCGGAGTCTTGGGCATCTTCAAAAGAGGGAAAGAAAAGAAAGATAATGCTAAGTTGTGTCTGACTCCTGCGATCCCATGAACTGTAGCCCGCCAGGCTGGGATTCTCCAGGCAAGAATACTGGAGTGGGTTGCCATTCCCTTCTCCAAAGAGGGGCGCCAGGAACCAAGAAGGGTGCCAGTGTCAAAGGTCATGTCCATGTCCAAGAGGCTGGTGAATGGAGACCTCCCTGGCGGCGGTCTCTGATGACGACCTTCTGGAGACGGGATGCGGGGCCCTTGGCGCCCTGTCCAGGGGGGCGGGGGGTCACCCACACGAGGTCCCCCCGGTGCGGCTACTCTGTGCTCCTGGGGTGTTGGGGGCATTTCGGCTCATGCCGGCAGACCGGGCCAGCCAAGAGCAGTAGGCACCCTGGCAGCGGCCGCCTGGCTCCAGACAGACCCCGTGCACGTACCTCCGGGCATGGAGGGCGGGCGACAGAGGCCTGGGAGCGACCCCTGGCCCCAGATGGCCGGGCCAGCGCCAGCTCCTGGCCGCCGTCCGCAGCCACAGCCCTGACTGTGTTTGCGGGGCTGCTTGCTACAAAAACGTGATGTGGGCAGTGTCCCTAGAGGGGGCGGCCCCTGTGCATTTGCAGTAGTTAGAGATTAGCCTTGGCCACTGCGTCTCCTGAAGTGGGAGGCCTCTCCTGAAGCCCCGAAGGGAGCTGGACTGGGGACCCACTGTCCCACGCAGGCGGTTCCGGGTTCTTGGGGTCAGTGCTGCTCAGACGAGGAGCACCGGCCACAGGAGCTGTGTGTCCCTGCTCGGGCCGGGCCACAGCGGTGGCCACTGCTCTTGCTTCTGGCCCCCCACCCCGGGCAGGCAGCCTGGGGTCCTGGGCCCCTGAAGGCCCTGGGCTCGTGGCTCCTGCTCAGCCACCCGTCCCGCCCTCTCCTTCGCTGAGACTCTGTCCCTGTGCCCGAGGGAAGGGATCCACCACACGCATGTTGAGCTCGCTGGTGGCTAGGGCACGAGACCTCCCGGGAGCGAGCCCACTGTCCCTGGTACCGATCAGGGGCCCGGACTGCCGGGGCCGCCCCGCTCCCAGAGAGCGGGAGGGCCCCAAGAGAGCCCCTTTACCCCTGGTGCCAGCTTCCCTGCCTGCCTGTCTGTGACCTCATGCAGCGTGGGGAGACTGAGTGCCTACAAAGGCCCCTCGGAGCCCTCAAGTCCAAGCGCACCCACAGCCAGACTCCAGACCCGCAGGTTTCTGCCCGTGGTGCGGGCTCAGTGGCTGAGGTTGAGGCTGGCTGTCTGGCGGCCTTGGGGCGGAGACCTGGAAAAGTGGGGAGGTGGGCTTATCTCCCTGAGGTCTGGCTGAGGCTGCGGCCGTCACTGGTGACCTTGGGGTCTGGACCTTCAGGTTGTGCCTGAGCTCGGCCTTCCCACCAGCAGCCTTGTCCAGGGAGGGCCGTGGGGATGCAGATCCCAGAAGCGAGGCCCCGAGGCCCTGCACTCATCACCACCTTCCCGGCCGTGGGCCTGGTTCCCGCAGAGCCATTGCCTCTGCCGTGTGTGAGCCCAGCAATTGAATTGCGATTGATAGTACTTGTCGGTTTAAGATCATGCTAATTGCTTCATTTCCCAGCACACTCCTAAAAAGAAAATGAATCTCCCTGCGATATTTAGCAGTGGGGTGAAATGACCCTGGTGGAAATGAATCCAGGGTCCTGATGGGCTGCAGGGTGGCGGATGGGGGAGGGGCAGGGATGTGACACCTGCATCTCAGAGGTGTGGAGCGGCCTCCCCTCCTGGCTCTACCCTGGCCATGCCCCTGGCACTGAGGGAGGAGGCTTGGATTTGCTGGGTGGTAAGTGTGGGAACTTGACTCCTAGGTGAACAGCTTTGCCCAGGGTCACCTGGCTGGCCAGTGGAGGAGCCATCTCCTGCAGGGAAGGGACTCAAATCAGCGGGCATTGGTGCCAATCCCCACCCTCCCCCTTTCTGAGTGGCCCTTCTTGAGCCCCTGTAACCTCTGCACCCAGCACAGCCCCAGGCGTGTGCTGTGTGAGTGGCATGCTCACATTCTTCATCAACATCACTTCCACTTTGTTGGGCGAGTGGAGTTAAGATAGAGGAGGCTGGCAGGGAGAATGCACGCGGCCAGCATGACAAGCAGGGTGGGGGGTACCTGAGTCTCCAGGTCCAAGTTCTGCTTCTTACCCCACTCACTGGCCTCAAGAAGTTACTCAGTCTTCAGACCACAGTGGGGCTTCCATCCATCCACCACCTGCCATCCACCTATCCACCATCCACTATTCTGTCCACCCAGCCATCTACCCATCTGTTTAGCTTTCATCCACCATCCATCCATCCACTATCCATCTATCCACTATCCATCCATTATCTATCCAATACATCCATCTGTCAATCCATCCATCTACCATCTGCCATCCATCTGGCTACGATCCAGTATGCTTCTGTCCATCCAGCCATTTACCCATCTATTTCGCTTCCATCCACCGTCATCCATCCATGCACTATCCATCCAGTGCGTCCATCTGTCCATCCATCCATCCACTATTCATCTCTCCATTCATCTACCCATCCAGTTTAGCATCCATCCACCACCCACTATCCATCCATCTACCATCTGCCACCCCTGTGTGCTGGCCATGCTGGGTGCCGAGTGTACAGAGGGGGGCAGGCCGGCCCCTCAGTCAAGGAGCCGCAGGAGGGGACAGGAGTGAGGTGTCTACAGGACTGAGGGGCCTGTGGGAGGTGCATACTGAGCCCCCCACTCCGCATACCCTCTTCTCCCCTCTAGCCAGGCCTGCAGGTCAGTGTTGGGGACACCATCCTGCAGAAGACTGCAACCTTCCAGGGGCCAGCGCCGGGTCCTCTGCACCCAGTGAGGGAGCTCACAGCCCCAGGATGCTCAGCGTGGGCTTTGACCTTCGGGTTGGGGGACAGTGTTTCAGATCCCAGCAGTGTCTCTGAGTTGAGGGGTGACCCTGGGCTCATTTCTGGTTCTTGGCTGTCAGCACTGCTGAGGGATGTGGCCTTGACTTATGAACTGTGGGCTCCAGGGACCTAACGGCTGTCCTCTTCCTTCCACAGAGCGACCTGTTAGATGTGAACCAGATCATCAAGGACTTGGCCTCCATGGTTTCGGAGCAAGGAGAAGCCATCGGTGGGTACCCACAGCATCTGCCAAGCCACCTGCCCTGCCCGCCCCAGGCCGTCCTCAGGGGCCCTGTGTCTGGCTTTGACCCCAGAGTCCTTCGGGCAGCTGCCCCAGGGAGGGGTGGGCACGGTCTGGCAGGGCTGACCGGCAGACAGTGGGGCCTGGGCAGGTTCCGGCGGTCCAAGTCTCTGCTGGCTGCCCTCCTGGCCCTCCCCTTGGGCTCGGCCCAGACCCTCAGGAAGGCTAGCCTGGGGATGCCCCGAGGGGTGGGCCCCTCCTCTTGCTCGCGGGAGCATCTGGGCCACCTGCCCCTCACCCTGTGCCTTCCTCCCAGGAGCATGTGGGGGGGTGCTGGCCGCTCAGGGAGGGCCGTCCTGCCCCTGCAGTGGCCCCGTTCCTGCCACGCGAGGGCCCCCGCCCCACCAGCCCAGCTATGCAGCCCATGTGGCCGCAAGGCTCTCCTGCTCCTCCCCCCGTGCCCAGGTGCCCGGGGTGGTGCTGGGCCACAGCCCGCAGCCCGCAGCCCTCAGGAGCGAGGCGGCTCCCAGTGCCCAGAGCCACATGGTTAACAGGCAGCTCCCGGCTGGGGTCCAGGGCTCCCTACACCGCTCTCTAGCCTGTTCTCAGGCTGAGTCATCGCCTCAATGGGGCCTGGAGGCCGGGGCGGTGCTGAAGCCCAGCCCCCCTCCCCCGGTTTGTGCTGCACCCCCAGGAGCAGAGCGAAGGAGGGGGTTGGGCCATGCTGCCTGCTAGCCCCTCCCTGGTCTCAAGCCTGGGTGCCCGCGGGACCCTGCTTCTGCTCTAGGCAGCTCTGGGCATCACCCGTGCCAGCTCAGGGCACCTCTCCTGGGACCCTCCCTGTCTCCACGTGCTCTGTTGCCTCTGTGGGTGACTGTCAGGGTGGGTGTGCAGAATCCTTTGTATGCTCCAGATGGACACCCAGCTGTTTCCTGGATGGTCACCAGATGGTCACTCGGTCCCAGTGATGGGCCGATGGGGAGGGGCTCTCTGCTGGGCAGGGGGCGTGGCGAGGACTGACCTCCTCCAGAGCCGTGCCTGCTGGAGGGGTGGGCCCCAGTGTCCAGAGTAGCCACGGCCCGGGACCCCGCTGCGTGCCAGTGTGGGTGTCCCTGGATGGCGGACGGTGGGTGAGGCCCGCGTTCCCCCCATAGGGGGCAGTGGGGCCAGCCCGCCACCCTCAGCCTCTGGTGCCTTTCCAGGGTCCAGCAGTGGCAAGGCCTTGTGCGGGCGCAGCTCCAGCCCCGAGCCGGCTGTGGCAGCCCTGCTGCCCAGGCCGGGCCCCCACTCGCGCACCAAGACACGGAAGCCCAACTTCAGCCCCCAGGAGACAGAGGTGCTGGTGCAGAGGGTGACACGCCACTACCCGCTGCTGTTCGGGGCGCTGCGGGGCCCGCCCGCCCGCAAACACCGGGTGTGGAGCAAGATCCTGCAGGCGGTGAACGCGCTGGGCTACTGCCACCGGGACCTGGGCGACGTGAAGCACAAGTGGCGGGACCTGCGCGGGGTGGTGCGCAGGAAGCTGGCCGAGCGCCCCCGCACCCCCGCCATCCTCACGCCCGTCGAGCGCATGGTGGCTGAGACCTTCGCGGCCTCGGGCACCCCCGGGGAGGCCCATGCCGCCGAGCCCCTCCCAAGTAAGTGGCCCCCCACAGCCCACCTGGAGCCTCCCTCCAGCAAGGCCTGCTCTGCGTCGAGATGGGGAGACCGAGGCTCCAGGCCAGGGAGGGGCACCCCTCGCCTGTGTCACTCAGCCGCAGGCCAGGCCAGACAGCGTCAGGGGCCCTCTGCCTCCCAGGGCATGCTGACCCCGGAGCCCTGGGCCCACCGCCGCCGCTTTTGCAGCTGCTCCTAAGCCTGGCAAGGAAGATGGCTGCCTGGCTGGGTGTTGGCCGCCACCTCCAGTGCCTCCTCCTCCTGCTCCTCATCCTCCTCCTCTCAAGACACCTCTGCAAGCCCGTCACAGCGCCCTGCACCGCAGCAGCATCGGCTCCACCCGCAGCTTGAAGCTGGGCCCCACAGACCCTTGCACCCCCCTTCCTGGGGAGCTGCTGGAAGGACTTTAGGGAGAAGCTGGAAACAGGACCAATTACATCCTGAGGGCTGCCGAGCAGATGGCAGGACGGCCTGCAGGGACAGCAGGGGCCGTCGACACCCCAGCAGAGGCCCTAGTGGACCTTTTGGGGGGTCTGCACCGAACAGGCGGGGGCAGGTCAAAGATGCACACAGATCCAGGACACGGCTGTGCCCTGGGCTGGACTAAGTCATGGGCCTGGACGATGGGACAGGGCCTGCCTTTTAGTCATGGGCAGGCCGCCTCTTCTACCGGCAGAGCCAGACCCCGCTTTGGCATGCTGCAGATGGGCACACTCTAAGGCCCAGGGGAGCTGGCGGGGGGCGCCGGCTGCTCAGACCCATCTGCCGGCCCCCAGCTTAGGAGCGAGGCAGGAGCTTGGTGGCTGTGTTCATTCTGGTGGCCCCAGTGCGTGACGCTTGGTTCTGCAAGTTCCACCATGATGAGGCCCAGCTCAGCCCAGACGTCCCACCCACCCTGGTTTGGTGGCACCCTGTCCCCGTCCCCCGTGACTCCCAGGCTCTCACCCCTCGGGGCAGCCAGCTGCTGACTGGACCCTTAGTGCCCGGGCCGCACCTGCATTTATGGGCGCCGTCTCTGCCTCAAGCCCTGGGCAGTGCCCAGGCGCATGTGTTTGGGTCGAGGGAGGTGTGTTCATTTCAGTCGCTCAGTGGTGTCCAACTCTTTGTGACCCCATGGACTACAGAACACCAGGCTTCCCTGTCCATCACCAACTCCTGGAGCTTACTCAAACTCCTGCCCATCAAGTCGGTGAGGCCATCCAACCATCTCATCCTCTGTCGTCCCCTTCTCCTCCCACCTTCAGTCTTTGCCAGCATCAGGGGAGATGTTTGCATGTAGCCATTTTTACCTCTGAGTTTTCAACAAAATGCGTGAATTCAGAGGCTCATCCTCTCTTCCTGAGAGTTGGCTGGATGCGTGTTTGCGTCTGACGGGTCAGCCCACAGAGCTCCAGCTGGTCTCTGCTGAGGGCTATGCCCACAGCTGTGGTCTCTGCTCACTTGTCTGGGCAGCACCGGGTCCTTCTTTTCAGGGGGAGAGGAAACTGTAGAGAGTCGCCCTGGTGCTCCCGGGGGTTCCAGCCCTGTTCCTCCCGCGTTGAGGGCCCCAGCCCTGATTCGCCCCTCCCTGTGCCTGCCAGCCTGGCCGCGCACCGTCGTGCGGCGGGGTGGACTCGTGGGCGCTTCATGTGAAACCGCTCTTTCACCCCCGGTGCCGCGGAGGGGTGTCTTCTGGTGTCCCAGGGTGGCTCAGCTCTGCTGCTGGGGTGACATCTTGGGGGCTCTGCCGACACGCCCAGCAGGCCCCTGCCTGAAGCCCCTGGTCCCCACTCGGACCTGCACGGTCGTCAGAACCAGCTGCTTGGTGCGGGGACGCCGGCGGCCGGCACGTGTTGATGTCGTGGCGGGGGCGGTGGTATTTCCAGACCCCGACAGCCGTCTTCACGGCAGCTCTCTGTGTGCAGAGCTGTTCCCGGGCTGGACTCACCCGTTCTGAGGGGCTACCAGGCCCCGAGGACAGACAGTGCCAGGGTCTCTGTCCTGACACTCAGGCGGGCCAGGGCCCACGCCGGGCGGGTGAGCAGTGCCCATCCCCGCAGCCTCTGACCTCTGGAGGCCGGACTCCCCGTTTGTGCCTCCCCCCGCCCCCGCCCCGGGTGACCACAGGGTCTCCTCTCTGTAATTGCTTGTGTTGTCTTGATTTGCAGATAGTATTGAAGCCGGCCTAGAGGCTGCGTCCTCGCACACAGAGGTGGCCAGTGAGCTCCTCGCTGGAGCCAGCCGGCACCAAGTAAGTCAGTGTGAGGGCACAGCCCTCCGCCCCTGCCCGCGCCAGAGGGGCAGGCCTGCAGGGTCTTCTCTGTGCCCAGGCCAACTGCTGTGGGGGAGGGGAGAGGAGGGGGCACGGGCCGCGTGCCCAGGGCCGTCAGCCTTGCCTGCCCCAGTCTGCACCCCCACCGAGGCTGTGTCCCGGGCCTCTGCCCACGGCTCAGCGAGCGAGAGGGCAGGCGTGAGGGGCGAGTGGCTCCCAGGGGCGGGTCTCGCTGCCGTGGGCGCCGGCGGGGCTGCGGCTCCCCACGCCTGGTGTGCGGCACCGGCTGCCCTGTCCTGGAGGGCGGGGCCATGCAGAGGGCACCCTGCTGGGCAGGGTGTTGCTCCCTGTCTTCCCTTGGCCGGGCGTGGGGCCGGAGCTGGTGGGGCCTTGCTGCTTGGGATTTATCGGCTGGCTCCGGGGCAGTGAGGACCAGTATCTGACCCTCGTGTGCTTGAGGCGGGCATCAGGCGGGCTCTGGGGACACACAACTGCGACGTGAGCCCCTGGCCCGGCCTGGGTCCAGCAGGAAGTGGGCGCCATCCTCCGCCTGCCACCCGTCCCCCACGCCCCCTGCTCTGTGCTGGGCCCTCACTCAGAGACAGAGGCCCCAGAGCCTGTGTCTCCCAGAGCTCGCGTCCTAGGGGTGGGGTGGGTGGACAGTGCAGTCCAGTGACATGGGGCCCTGGGCCCGCTGAGGCAGGGAAGGCTTCCCGGGGCGTGCTGAGCAGGAGCGGGGGCAGAGGCCGAGGAAGGGGCTGACCAGGCGGGCTCAGGGTGCTGTGGCCAGGGAGTGGACGCTGTATGGACCGTGCAGCCGGGGGCAGGGAGGGGCCAGGGAGGTGGTGGATGCTGTCCTTGCTCCCCGGCAGCTTTGGGACGTCAGCACTGTGCTGTGAGAGGGACTTGGGTTGCCTCGGGTAGGAGGGGCTCAGGGCAGGGCTGGCCAGCAGAGCCTCCCTCCCCAGGCCTCCCGCCGTGGGGAGCCTGGAGGCCCACCGGACTCCGCGAGGGAGCGTCGTAGGGGCGCCCGCTGGGCCCACTGCTGCCACCCCTTTTTTGCGTCGGGGCCCCCTGACCCCTCAGCCTGGGCAAGGGTTGGGTGTGCGTGACAGCTGGTGTGGCTGCCGGGGGGTGGTCCGTGTCTGCAGGGCGGGGCCGGGGCAGGGCTGCAGAGTCTGGTGAGCGGCTCGGGGCCCTCTGCCTGCACAGCCGGCCCTCCAATGCAGAGGGCGGCTGCTCCCCGGCCCGCTCCCTCCTGGGTTCCCAGAGAGAAGGCAGCGGTTGAAACTGACAAGCACGTGGACTCGTCGGAAGCCCGGCCCGGCCTCTGCTGCGGGGACTCGGAGCTGGACGTTGCCCGCCGAGGGCCTCACTCCCGAAGCCGCATCTCATCAGAGAAGCAACACGCCGGCAGGGCGGCTGGCTCCCCTTTGTGCCCCCGGGGGCCGCCGGCTCAGAAGGATCAGCGCGGGCCTGGACCACGGAAGGAGGAGGGGATGGTGAGGAGGACGAGGAGGACAAGGAGGCGGCGGCGGGGCGGCCACTTGTGCCCGGGGCCCGGCAGGCTCGGAACCTGGCCTGCCCGTTGCTAGGGGGCCCATGGGCCTGGTGCTCCGGGGTGACGCTGCCCTCCCCAGGTGGGGCCCTGCCCCATAGGTGAGGCAAGGGGGGCTCCGCCCAGGAGGTGCAGCCCACAGTGGCCACCACGCAGGAAGCCCTCCGGCTCCTGCCCACTGCCCGCATCGTGCTGGGAAGTGTCAGCAGGACAGGCATCATGGCCTCTGGCCTTCCACATGCAGACAGGGCTTTGAGACCCAGAGGAGAGAAGAGCTTCCCACAGCCACACGGCTCCCCAAAGGTGGATCTGGTTTTGGAGCCTAGTGTGTAGGATTCCAGGTCTCAGGTTTTCCTGGCGAAGTGCTGCTTTTATATCCACTCCACTTATCTTCCTGGACGTCCACTTGGTGGATGGCCAGCTGGACAGACAGATGGAGGGTTGGGTGGATGGATAGATGGACTGAAGGACTGGAAGGGTGTTAACACAAGTGCGTGGATGGACAGACAGAGATGTGGGTGAGTGATGGAGGGGTGCGTGGTCTGGCTTGAGGATGGACGGCTGAGAGATGCACAGTGGATGAAGGGGAAGATGCACATGGACGGATGGATGGACAGAAGGAAGGAGGTGGGCAGATGGAGGGACAGGTGGATGCTTGACCAGCAAACAGATGGGCAGACAGATGAAGGGATGGATGTGTGGGTGGATACGTGTAGGTAGACAGATGGACAGACAGGATAGTGGGTAGATGATGGCCAGCTTGGGTGAGTGGACAGACAGACAGATGGCAGCCTGGCGGTGGTGCCTTGGCCTTGGAGCTGCCAGGTTGGAGTTTTATCTTGGCATGCCTGGAGGACGTCCTTCGCTCTCTGAGTCTCGGCATCCTGTGGGCGCTGCTGCCCACCACGGAGGGGCCCCGAGAAAGGCCGAGACAGCTGTGTGTACAGAGGGCCTCGTGCACCGAGGGCCCCCCTGGCACTGCCTGGATCCCGGCCAGCGAAGGCTCACGTTTCCTGTCTCCCCCTCCTAGCCGACAAGGAGGACGAGGCCCCTGGCTGCCTGTGGCTGCCCCTGCAGACGCTGGATGGGCCGAGCCCGCCTGAAGCCGACCCCCTGGACCCTAGAGGAGCCTTCCCTGTGTCCGCCTCCTCCCCGTCCCCGCCCGCCTCCCCAGGCTCAGCGCCCCCGGCGGCCGCGCTCCCTGGGCCCCCCCGGCCCTCGCCGCCCGCCTCGGCAGGACCCCAGCCCTCCGGGAAGGCCACAGGGGCTGAGGCCTCAGAGCTGGAGCGCCGGCTGCTGGATGCGCAGCGGCGGCAGGGTGCCCTGCTCAGCTCCTGGTCCCAGCAGCAGAGCACGCTGATGGCCCAGCAGAACCTGCTGCTGGAGCGGCTGGCCGAGCAGAGCCAGCGGCTGGCCGACGGCATCGAGGCGCTCACCCAGACCCTGGGGAGGCTGGTGGAGGCCCTCCCGACCCAGGGCACCTCGCCCGCCAACTCAGGCGGCTCCGCAGGGGGTGGGACCGTCTGCAGACCGGTTGGAGCCTCTCAGGGCAGCCGCACCAGCCTGGAGGCCTTCTCAGGGATGATCCTGAAGGTGGAGGAGGAGACCTAGGGTCCGAGCCCTGTGGGGCCTCGACGGAGCCGGAGAGGACACGGGACGTGGCCAGTGTGCCCCTTCTGTCCTGCCGTTGCCCGTGGGCCCAGCCACCCCAGGGAGCGCCGGAGTGAGTTGTGCTCAGGGACAACGCGGGGTCAGCAGAGCCCCGCCTCCCATCCTGCGTGTGGAGGTCGGCGCACGTGCACGTGGGCACAGTGCCCCCAGACCACCGCCTGGCACGTGGGCCCTGGAAGTGTGCCTCGGCTGGGCACCCAGAAGACGCCCAGCGTGTGCCCTGGAGTGACTCCTGGGAGCCCCCCTGCTCTGCAGGTGCACAGACTGGGCGGGGGCTGGGCCCCTGCGTCTGCGTGATTTTGCCTCAAGGGACCCGTGCCCGAGGGCCTGCGGTCATTTCTCTGTTTATGTCTACGACGTGAGATATGTGTGTGCACAAATATTCCTTGGTACTGGACGGGGTGGGATGCCATTTTATACCTACTGACTTTTTTTGGAAAAAATATTTTTCTTATATAAATATAAAATAACAATATTAAAAAAAAAAAGCAGAGACAGTGATGAGGGTGATGCGGACAGAAAACGAGACGGAGCTGGTCTGTCCTGGCTGTGTGTCCCCTGCGCTTGCCCGCAGGCAGCCCTCAGCCCTCCCTGGGCTTGTGGTCCGCCTTGCCTGCGATCCCGGGGCGGGGCGGCCCCTCGAGGCGGCCCCAGGAGGTAGGCTCACGGCCAGCTTCCCCTTTGCCTCCTTCTCTGGACTTGTGATAACCGCCTTTTCCAGAAGTAGGAAGCTGAGGTCCTGGCAGGAACCGGGTAGCGTGCTGACCTGCGGGCTCCCGGGGCAGCCCGGCTCGGAAGGAGCTGAGTGCAGGGTGGGACCTACACAGAGGGAGGGATGTTTCCTGGTTTCACTGTTCCCCACAGAGCCAGCGGTGAGGCAGTGACCCGTCCACAAGAGCGCCTGAGCTGCCTAGCGGCCCACCCGGCCCTCTTCAGTGTGACCAGCGTCCTTCCGGCCCCTCCTCCCTGTGGCCGGATGTCGCGGGTGTTCTCCATGGTGGCTCCTCCTGCCCTGCAAAGCCTGGGTGTATCTCAGGTCTGCTCTTGGTGGATGGACTGCAGGCTGGGGGTGGTTCACACTGTAAAGAGTCTGCCAGCAGTGTGGGAGAACTGGGTTCAATCCCTGGCTTGGGAAGACCCATGGGAGAAGGAAATGGCAACCCACTCCAGTGCTCTAGCCTGGAAAATCCCATGGATGGAGGAGACTGGTAGGCTATAGTCCATGGGGTCACAAAGAGTCGGACATGACTGAGCGACTTTACTTTTACTAGGAGCCCATGCAGGAAACAGCTTAATGTGGGAAAATCGATGGTTGTAAAGGCTTTGCTGGTTTGCAGGGAGAAGTGAAATAGCCGGGCTTGTCCCCTCCCTGCAACCCCCTTACCTCCCCAGTCACCCCAGCACTGAGCTGGAGGCAGCTCAGAGGCCAGCCCTGAGATCCGGGATCCTGGCAGACGGGTCTCTCTGGGGGAGGGCCCCACAGGCCTTTGGGGGCCCCTCAGAGGGAGGAAGAAGCATCACGTGAGCCCACGGGCAGCAGTCACGTAGTCTGCAGTGGGCAGGAGGGCCAGCATCGCAGAGTGACAGGAGCAGAGCTTCAGGCCCCCCAGGTGCAGAGTGCTGGTGCAGAGGTCTGCACCCCGGGACCTGAGCAGGTGACTGTGTTAGAAGTTGAGGCTTTTAGAGGGGATCGAGGCGGGATCCCTGGGGTGACTTCCACCTCAGGGTGAAGAAGAAATCAGGGCAGAGA